AGAGCGCTGTTCCTGGGCTTCGATGCATTTCTGGCCATGACCCGTAGGAGTAAATTTTGAGGAAGTATCGAGCGGGAGCCGCTGTCGCCGTCGCTGGAACTCCACGAGTTTGCGTGATGTGCGAGGATGTCTCGAGCCAGAGCGCCGTTCCTGAGCTTCGAGGCCTCTCCAGCCAGGGCCCGTCGAAGCAAATTTCGAGGAAGTATCAAGCGGGAGCCGTTGTCGTCGTAACCGGGCCCACAAAGGCACACATACACAATCACGCCCCCGCTCGAGCGGGAGCCTCGTTTTCACAGGAAAGGAGGCCGGCGTCGAGGCGAGAGCGCCCGGGCAACTTTCCGGAGATCAACAGCAATTATTCATCAGAAATAAATATTCAACAACAACAACAACAACAACAACAACAACAACAACAACAACAACCACAACAACAACAACAACACCAACCACAACAACAACAACAACAACAACAACCAAACACAACAACAACAAGAGCAACAACAACAACAACAACAACAACAACAACAACATCAACAACAACAGCAGCAACAACAACAACAACACCAACAACAACAACAACAACAACAACATCAACAACAACAACAGCAACAACAACAACACCAACAACAACAACAACCAACCACAACAACAACAGCAACAACAACAACAACATCAACAACAACAGCAACAACAATTCAAGACTGTTCGCCCCTATATGCTCGAGTGTCCAAGAACGCGTATTTCCCAAACCCTTACCTTTCTTCCCTGCAGGCTGGGCCTTGGCAAGCGGCGGGGCGGCCGCGGACCGTCGGCCTGGCCAACAGCAGCGCTGATCGGGACGGCCGCGGACCGTCGACCCGACCCCAAGAGGGACGGACAGGGGACCGGCCACGACGACGACGACGACGACGACGACGACGACGACGACGACGTCGAAGACGACGGCGACGACGGCGACGACGGCGACGACGATCGAAAGCGAGAGCGAGAGAGAACGGCAGCAGGGCCACGAAGGGCACGAAGTAGGCCACCAAGGGCGACAGCGGGGACACGAAGGGAATGCGTACGGGGCCACGAAGAGCGCGAACGAGCGGGGGCCACGAAGTGCAGATAATGCGGGGCCACAGAAGGCAACGATGGGGCCACTGAGGGTAGCAACTGGGACACGAAGGACAGTGAGGGGGACACAAATGGCGACAGCGGGGCCACGAAGGGCATGCACATGGGGCCACAACGGGCGCGACTCCTGGGTGCCTGGGTGTCGGGAGCGCGGCGCTTGGGCAAATTGCAAGAAATCCCAACGCAAGGCCATTCTTCAGTAAGTTGCAAGCAAGTCTCCAGCGAGAGCGCGACTCCAGAGCGCCGGGAGAGCGATTCCTAAATAAATTCTAAGAAAGTCCCAAGCGAGAGCGCGATTTCTGACTAAAATGAGAGGAGGTCTCGGGCGGGAGCGGGGGTCCTGGCTAAATGGTAAGGAAATCTCAAGCGGGAGCTGTTATTGTTGCAGCCCGGGGGCCAGGGGCCCAGTTTGAGCATCAAGACTTCCCCTGTCAAAAAACAGGGTGCGAGCGTCGAGGGGCACACTTTGATTGAGAAAAAAATGTGCACCGGTGGGGGGGGACCAACAGTAATTATTCTTCCGAAATAAATATTCAACAACAACAACAACAACAACAACAACAACAACAACAACAACAACAACAACAACAACAACAACAACAACAACAACAACAACAACGACAACGACAACGACAACGACAACGACAACGACAACAACAGCAGCAGCAGCAACAACAACAATCATCTTAAGACTGTTCGCCCTTATCTGCTCGAGTGTCCAATAACGAATATTCCCCAGAAGCCCTCAATACCCGCCCTCTTCGTCTTCGATCGAAACCCTTTTAGGGGGTATACCTTTCTTCCCTGCAGGCCGGGCTCCGGCAAGCGGCGGGGCGGCCGCGGACCGTCGGCCTGGCCAGACGCAGCGCTGATCGGCGGGGCGGCCGCGGACCGTCGACCCGACCCAAAGGAGGGACGGACAGGGGACCGACCACGACGACGACGACGACGTCGACGACGACGGCGACGACGACGACGACAACGACGTCGACGGCGACGGCGATGACGACGACGACGGCGACGACGAGCGAAAGCGAGAGCGAGACAACGACAGCAGGGCCACGAAGGACACGAAGTAGGCCACGAAGGGCGACAGCGGGGACACGAAGGGAATGCGTATGGGGCCACGAACAGCGCGAACGAGCGGGGGCCACGAAGTGCAGATAATGCGGGGCCACAGAAGGCAACGATGGGGCCACTGAGGGTAGCAACTGGGCCACGTAGGACAGTGAGGAGGCCACAAACGGCGACAGCGGGGCCACGAAGGGCATGCACATGGGGCCACAACGGGCGCGACTCCTGGGTGCCTGGGTGTTGGGAGGCCGGCGTTTGAGAAAATTACAAGAAATTCCTACGCAAGGGCGCTATTCTTCAGTAAGTTGCAAGCAAGTCTCCAGCGAGAGCGCGACTCCAGGAAGCTGGGAGAGCGAGTCCTGAATAGATTATATTGAAATCCCAAGCGAGAGCGCGATTCCTGAATAAAATGCAAGGAAGTATCGGGCGGGAGCGGGGGTCCTGGCTAAATTGGGAGGAAGACTCAAACGGGAGCTGTTATTGTTGTAACCGGGGGGCCAGGGGCGCATTTTGAGCATCAAGACTTCTCCTGTCGAAAAACCGGGTGTGAGCGTCGAACGGCACACTTTGATTGAAAAACCGTATGCACCGGTGGGGGAGATCAACAATAATTGTTTTTCAGAAATGAAAGAGCTCAACAACAACAACAACAACAACAACAACAACAATCATCTTAAGACTGTTCGCCCTTATCTGCTCGAGTGTCCAATAATGAATATTTCCCAGAAACCCTCAATACCCGCCCTCTTCGTCTTCGATCGAAACCCTTTTAGGGGGTATGCCTTTCTTCCCTGCAGGCCGGGCCCCGGCAAGCGGCGGGGCGGCCGCGGACCGTCGGCCTGGCCAGACGCAGCGCTGATCGGCGGGGCGGCCGCGGACCGTCGACCCGACCCCAAGAGGGACGGACAGGGGACCGACCACGACGACGACGACGACGACGACGACGACGTCGACGACGACGACGACGACGACGTCGAAGACGACGGCGACGACGACGACAACGACGAAGACGACGGCGACGACGAGCAAAAGCGAGAGCGAGAGAGAACGACAGCAGGGCCACGAAGGACACGAAGTAGGCCACGAAGGGCGACAGCGGGGACACGAAGGGAATGCGTATGGGGCCACGAAGAGCGCGAACGAGCGGGGGCCACGAAGTGCAGATAATGCGGGGCCACAGAAGGCAACTATGGGGCCACTGAGGGTAGCAACTGGGCCACGTAGGACAGTGAGGGGGACACAAATGGCGACAGCGGGGCCACGAAGGGCATGCACATGGGGCCACAACGGGCGCGACTCCTGGGTGCCTGGGTGTCGGGAGCGCGGCGCTTGGGCAAATTGCAAGAAATTCCAACGCAAGGCCATTCTTCAGTAAATTGCAAGCAAGCCTCCAGCGAGAGCGCGACTTCAGAGCGCCGGGAGAGCGATTCCTGAATAAATTATAAGGAAATCCTAAGCGAGAGCACGATTCCTGAATAAAATGCAAGGAAATATCAGGCGGGAGCGGGGGTCCTGTCTAAATTGGGAGGAAGTCTCAGGCGGGAGCCGTTGTTGTTGTTGTAACCTGGGGGCCAGGGGCCCAGTTTAAGCATCAAGACTGCCCCTGTCAAAAAAAAGGGTGCGAGCGTCGAGGGAAACACTTTGATTGAGAAAAAAACGTATGCACCGGTGGGGGGATCAACAATAATTATTCTTCTGAATAGAGAATTCAACAACAACAACTACAACAACTACAATGACTACAACAACAACAACAACAACAACGACGACGACGACGACGACGACGACGACGACGACGGCAATAACAACAACAACAACAACAACAACAACAACAACAACAACAACAACAACAACAACAACAACAATTACTAGCACGTGGGGACACTCCGTTCTCACCAGTGCCAGGGTTTTCATAGGAGGCGGGCAATACCCCCACTTTGTGGGGGGGCCGGTTCAAGCTCTACCAAATTTCCAAACGACTCTTCGCCACCACCCACACCCAGCTTCCCGCCCTATGACGTTCGGACACTTCACTTCGTGGCATGCGGACGACCGTGGCTACTATTCAGGGCCCCGCGGCCGACGACGACGGCGTGCGCGCGCGAAGAAAAAACGAATGTGTCCCGCATGGTATTATTTGACAGGGATGATGGCCCTGGCAGGTGCGCAACCGTTGTCGCAGAAGTTCGAAAAAGTTGCTCGCAAAAGCCCGTTTGACAGAAATGTTTAAAAAGTGTTGGGTTTCCTACGAATCCGCAAGAGCGCGCGGGATGAAATTTTGACAATTTTTTGTTGAAAAACCATTGGTTTTTTGATGTTTTTATGTTAAAATCGCTGCGAACACTAAGGTTTTGGAAGGATTTCGTCTTGCGCGCGCGAATGTCCACTTTACCTTATTTTTTGCAAGGGATTCTTGAAATTTGATTATATTAGAACAAGAAATGTCATTTTCTATTGTTTTTTGCAAGGGAAAGCGGATTACAACAAAACAACCGGATCCTGTACACACCCTCTTTTCTGAGGCTTCCTCACGAAAATGATGAAAATGTAGCTGCGGCCTAGGCGGCGCAGGGGGGGCGCGCACCAGGGGGCCCAACAATAATTATTCTTTAGAATAAATAATGTTCAACAACAACAACATCATCATCAACAACAACAACAACAACAGCAACAGCAACAGCAACAGCAACAGCAACAACAACAGCAACAACAACCACTACCACAACAGCAGCAAAAACAGCAGCAACAACAGCAGCAGCAGCAAAAACAACAATTAAAACAACAAATGCGGCGGTCATACCGCTGGCCTGTGCGGGCGACCCGGACGCGGGCACGAACTCCAGCCTGTAGCCCACCTCGCTGGGGGGGGGGGCCGTCAAAAAAACCGCTCGGGGTGAGGATCGCGCGGTCGGCGAAAAAAGGGGGGGGACAAGAAGCAACGGAGAATGGAGGACTGCAGGAAGGTACTTGGCTTAGGTCGGGCGTGTCCCCCTGCAGGCGGACTTTGGGCGAAAAATGCAAAATACCCCAGGAAAAACCAAACATGCTCAAAAAAAATAGTCAAGAGATCGTCCCCTGACTCGTTTGGGACCCTTCTTGGCCAGGCCTCCTCCCGCAGAGGGCCGGGCCCGATTCGATGCCCGGCCGCAGCGAGGGGAGGAGGAGGAGGAGGAGGAGGAGGACGACGAGGGGGAGGAGGAGGAGGGCAGGAGGGGGGGAGAGGAGGAGGAAGAGGAGGAGGAGGAGGGGAGAGGGGGAGGAGGAGGAGGAGGAGGAGGAGGAGAGGAGGAGGAGGGAGGAGGAGGAGAAGGAGGAGGAGTAGGAGCTGCCACCGCGGGCCCGCAAGGGGTGCGCAGAGGGGGGGCGCGCGCCTCCGCGCCCCGCGCCCGCGGGGCCCCCCGGGGGGCGCACGCTCGAAGAGCCGGAAGGGGGACGGCCGGAGAGGGCCCCATAGGAGGGGAGGGAGCCGCGAGGGAGCCATGCTGGAGCCGCTGCGTGTCCCACCGCTCGTCCTCCTCCTCCCTCCCCCTCCCCCCCTCCCCCTCCCCCCCCGCCCCCCCCACCCCCTCACCCTCCCTCCTCCTCCTCCTCCTCCTCCTCCTCCTCTCCTCCCCTCCCTCCTCCTCCTCCTCCTCCTCCTCCTCCTCCTCCTCCTCCTCCTCCTCCTCCTCCTCCTCCTCCGTGGCGGCGCGCAGAGGAACAAAAAGCTGCATGAGCATAAACTCTCGAGGCTCCGCGCGGATTCCCTGGATCGGCGCTCGGCCCCGCCAGCGGCGGAGCTCCGAAAGTTCATGTTTACGGAGATGGGCGGCGCGCACGGGAGGGTAGGGGGGGGGGAAGGCTTCTTGGAAGGAGGCTGTTTCTTAGAGGGCGCGGGCCTAACATGTACAGACAGGGCCCACGCCTTCGAAGGAGCAGGGGGTGCTTCCCCCCTCCCTCATACCCCCCTCTGTGCGTGGCCGACATGGGCCTCCTGGCGCCCCGAGGGTGAGGGGGAACAAAGAGGCGGGGCGAGGGGGGCCTTGACCGATAGCGGCTTCCCGATAGCGCAGATCTTTCGACCTTGACTGCCTACAAGACCACGCCAACACAACCCGAAGACCCATATCTCGGGTGGGGGGGAGGACACGGATTCCGTGTGGCTTTGCGGTGTTCCCGGACGCCCCCCCCCATTGGGAATGGAGGGCATAGTGGGGCCTTCGGGTTGGGTTGGGATGGCTTGCTGGGTGCTGATATCGGCTGGCCCCCTGCCACGGGCGGCGTTCAGCCGTAGAGCGCCCACGCGAGGGAATCGCCGCCGCGCCAGCACGCCACGAACACACCGCCACGACACGACACGACGCGACGCGGCACGGCACGGCACGACACGACACGACACGGCACGACACGACAGGACACGACTCGACTCGCGCCGGCACGACACGAACACACCGTCACAGCACGACACGACAGGACACGACTCGACTCGCGCCGGCACGACACGAACACGCCGTCACGACACGACACGACACGACACGACACGACACGACACGACACGGCACGGCACGGCAAGACACGACACGACACGACACGACACGACACGACTCGCGCCGGCCGCCAGCAACGGAAGGGGGGATTTCAAGACAAGATAGGCAACGCCCATCCGCTTCGAGTGCGTCCTCCGGGCCAGGCCGCCTGGTCTGTTGCAGTCAACCCGTATGATAAGGATGCGGGATAGAAGGATGCAAGGGCCTCGGAGGGACATTTCGAGGCTTCTCGAGCACAACGCGGCCAACGAAGCTGGCCAAGGATAGACCGAGGAGGCAAGGATGCAAGGGTGACCTTGTGGGAAGGTTACCCATCCTTACTATGAGGGTTGGCTGTAGCTCGCGCGCGTGCCGTTCGCATCACGAGCAGCGTGACAAGAGATCATAGATCAGCGAATCCGGTCCACACCCCCAATCGGGACGGGTGAAGGCAGGTGCTGCACATCTGGCTGGCTGAGCGGGGGCATGGACGGCCATCCTCGGAAGACAAATGACACTCGGGTTTGGATCCGGGCGGAGGGAAAGTTAGAGGTTCGAGCTCAGAAAGGAAGGAAATCAAGAGTTCGAAAGAAGCGTTAAAAACCATTGAGATTCCGAAAAACAAGTTCACATGTTTGGACAGAATGTGGAAACTATGAAAGACATGAAGACAGTTCGGATGCAGTTCAAAAGTTTTGGCAAATGTGGGAAAAGTTTGGAAACATTTGGAAAAGTTCAGACAAAGCGATTCGGGGGGTCACAAACAAGTTCAAGCGCGCTCTGGATGCTTGGAACTGTTTCGCCGCCGAGCTTCGAGATTATGGCAACGCTGGTCTTGATCTGTGTACAAGCACTGGCCTGGAACTGCCCCAGGACTCGAATTGTTATAGCATGGGGGCCGCCTGCGCCCCCTCAGCCGGTCAGATGCAGCGCTGTCACGCCCAGGCCGAGGCTCCAGCCCAGCAGCACCGTCGCAGCACATCGCCAGCCCTGTCGCAGCACATCGCCAGCTACCGACGCAGCACGTCATCAGGAACGAAGGGGGAGGAGGGGGAGGAGGAGGAGGAGGAGGAGGAGGAGGAGGAGGAGGAGGAGGAGGAGGAGGAGGAGGAGGGGGAGGAAAAGGAGGAGGAGGAGGAGGAAAAGGAGGAAAAGGAGGAGGAGGAGGAGGAGAGGGAGGGGAGGAGGAGGAGAGGAGGAGGAGGGAGGAGGGGAGGGGGAAGGGGAGGGGGAGGGGGAGGGGAGGGGAGGGGGAGGGGGAGGGGGAGGAGGGCGTCGCCCCGACATCGGCGGCACGTCGCGGCCACAGGTCGGCGGCAGGGCCCCCGACGGCAGGCACCGAGCCGCAGCCCAGGGGGAGGGTCGGAGCACGCAGGCCGCGACACTGAAGCTATGTTAGGCCATCTACGAGCCAACTTGGCATCCACTGATGGCCCCTTATTTATCCCCTTAGCAACCACCGCGGTGATTCAAGTGGGCCCAGACCCCAAGCGCGACGGGGAAACAACAAACGTCCTGTGGCAATTCACGGGAGCCTCCCGTGTTATCTTGCTGGCACTTGACGCTGAATCGACGCCATTCGACGCTAAATCAGGTCTTCTCATCGACTACCAGACACAAAACGCACGCTGGTTCTCTCTAAACACGGAGTTCGAGGACATACACGGCTCTCATGAATTGCGATTGGAAAAATACGGTCGGCAGCGCTTCGGCGATCTTGAGGGCTCCACCCAGACGAACCCGCGGGCGATGCTGCGGACAAGGTGCCAGCGCACTTCCGCCAGGACAGCGACACGGCGCACAGCGCCACTCGCTCCACGGGCGGCAGGAGAAGGCGGAGCTCGCCTTCCCATGGATCACCGCGGGGGGTGCTAAGTGGATAGCAGGGTTATCGTGCTATGGTGTGCTATACCTGGCCAATCCTAACTGCTAAGTAGAATATGAGAGCCACGAATGGCTTTGGGGGGTGAAGGGCCGGGCTACGTGGGCGGAGCCCACTTTGCGGATTTATCGAACCCACCCATGCCAATCAGGGCACATACATGTTACCAATGTATAAGCTAGCTTAGGCCAGACATCTTGGCATCCACCAAGCAACACCCTATGCACTTAGCAACCCCCGCAGCCCCAAGGCCGAAACACCACCGCCCGCAGACGAAGGCAAACCCCTCGCGGGCGTTATGCCTCCGGACGAAGCCCCCGCCTTGGCCCCCTGGCGGCCCCAGCCCCAGACGCCCGACGCCTTGATGTGTTCAAAACGTGGACCCCCAGATACCTCGATCCACTCCCCAGGACCGGCTTCTTCATCCTGAACAATTGTTTGACGGCCCCTGGGCCCAGCGAGGGCCCCCCAAGGCCGAAAAACCGGCCCAAGACCATCCGTCGCGCTTGGCTTCACGACGCGGAGCTTGGGTCGGGCATGTCCTCCTACAGGCGGATTTGTGAGGAAAAATGAAAAGTAGCCAAAGAATCTTCAAACATATTCGAGCAAATTATCGAAAAATCGCGCCCAGACTATTTATGTAAAAGGATAGGCCCGACTTGACGCGAAGCGGTCCGTGAAGCCCCCACATTTGCCCCTGGCGGCCCAACTGGGGCCGCCAGTGCCCGAGAGGAGAGCCATGGCAGCCGGCGCGCCGCTTCGGCCGGGACCGACTGCCAGGTCGGGGAGGCGCAAGACGCGGGTCCGGGGGACGCGAGCTGGTCGGACGGGGCCATCCTGAGAATGACGAGGCCCCGTCCGGTATTTGACGCGAGCTCCTGCTGCAGACGCCCCCCGAAAAACTGTTCTGCGCCGCAGCGCGGCAGGGGCAGTCCGCACGCGCGCTCGGGCAAGCGCCGGGAGGCTGGACCACCAAAATCCAGGGCGGGCTCGCGTCGAAGAGTGCAGGCGAGCCCGGGGCCCGGCGTCGTGCTCGAGTCCTGCGTTTCCCCGACAAGGAGGGCACCCGAGAGGTCACCGGGACTCCCCCGGGGGCAGCTGGGGAAGGGGGTGGGGGGCGACGGGGCGCGACCCAGAGGCAGGACACCGCGGCGCCCTCGATCTCGGCAGGGTCGGCTCCCTGGTCACGGGCCCGCAGGGGAGGAAGGAATACGCTTAGCTGCCCCTATGGGCACCACGCAACACGTTGCGTCGTGAGACGGAGCTCGACACGCAGCCTGAGCACGTGTAGGTCTGACGCGGTACGCTCGCCAAAACGTGGGGCCCAAAACGCTGAGCCAACACGTAGCGTGTTGACACGAACGCTTCAAAAAACGGTGCGTGCACTGCAAAAAAACAGGCGTCTCAGGGCAGCCAAGGAAGCACAGTCGGCCCGTATCATAAGGATGCGCGATAAAGATGCAAGGGGCTTGGAAGCCCACTTCGAAGCTTTTCGAGCGGGGCGCGGCCAACGAAAGTGGCCAAGGATGGGCCGAGGAGGCAAGGATGCAAGGGTGCCCTTGTGGGAAGGTTGCCCATCCTTACTATGCCGGTCGACTGTAAGCATAGGCACCGACCCTAACCTGGCGCATCCTGGGCCCAAGATCGGCCCGGCCAGCACCGGTGCAGGCGTAGAGTTAGGTCGGGCATGTCCTCCTACAGGCGGATTTTGGAGGAAGGAGTAAACATGGTCAGAACATACATTCAAAAACGATCAAAAATACTAACAAAATCGTCCCCAGACTATCTTTGGACTGTTCTTGCAAATTCCCCCTGTAGAGGGACACGCCCGACTCGAGCGTAGAGTTGGCACCCTCCGGCGCCCGATCGAGGGCCCGCCTGCCAGAGGCAGCCGCATCCACGACTTCTTGACACCTGGCCCGGACCCCCTCCCCCCCGCCGATGCGCGCTCACCCTCGCGCATCGGCGACGGCCGGCACCGACCACGGCCAGGATCGGCGTCGGCCAGCTTAGAAGGCCACGTGCGAACCCTGCCCCTGCTCCCCACGATCTCCGAGGGGGGGGGGTCACTCCGCTCGGGAGCTCCCGAGCGAAGTGAACCCCACCCTCGCCCTCGGAAATCGTGGGGGGCAGGGGTAGGGTTCGCATGTGGCCCCCTACCGAGCCAGCAACATCTTGGCCGTGATCCTGGCGCTTTTTCTCGAAGGACAGACACTTGCATTGACACAAGCTTTCGAAAGTCTGCGCTGACTTCATGGATCGGCGCAGGCCCCCCCGCGCGCCAGCGCGCCAGGGGCGGCGCTGGAGGTGCCGCCCTGAGGACCCAGCGCCGACCGCAGAAGTCCGCGCGGAGCTTCGAATGTTTGTGATTACGCCATTTTGTTCCCTCGCTCTTCGCCCAGCCGACGCCCCGAGGCATCGCCGATGCATCGCCGAAATCGCCAAAGTCGCGTACGCATCGGCGATGCATCGGCGATGCATCGGCGATGCGGCGCAGTCCTCCGACCCCATCTGCTTGAGCCCCATCTGGGAGGCCTACACGCCAGACGGAAGGAGGAGGGAGGAGGGAGGAGCGAGGGAGGGAGGGAGGAGGGAGGAGGGAGGAGGGAGGAGGGAGGGAGGAGGAGGGAGAGGGAGGAGGAGGGAGGAGGGAGGAGGGAGGAGAGGAGGAGGAGGAGGAGGAGGAGGAGGAGGAGGAGGAGAAGCAGGAGGCGGAGGCGGAGGAGGAGGAGGAGAAGGAGGAGGAGGAGGAGGAGGAGGAGGAGGAGGAGAGGAGGAGGAGGAGGAGGAGGAGGAGGAGGAGGAGGAGGAGGGAGGAGGGGGAGGAGGCGGAGGAGGAGCGGAAGAGGAGGAGGAGGAGGAGGAGGAGAGGAGGAGGGGGAGGAGGAGGAGGAGGAGGAGGAGGAGGAGGAGGAGGAGGCGGAGGAGGAGGAGGAGGAGGAGGATGAGGACGAGGAGGAGGAGGAGGAGGAGGAGGAGGCGGGGAGGAGGAGGGGAGGAAGAGGAGGAGGAGGCAGACATGGAAGTAGGCAGGCGGACAGGGTCGACGCGCGGCGAGAGCGGGCGGCGGGCGCCCCCCTGCGGAGCCTCGCCCGAGCAGACGCGCAGCTCCCACGCGAGGCGGCTGGCGGCGGCCACCTGCTCGGGGGGGAGGGGGGCTGAGGAGGGGAAGGGGCGGGGAGAGGGGGGAGGGGCAAGGGGAAGGAGGGGGAGGAGGGAGGAGGGGGGAGGGGGAAGGGGAGGAGGGGGGAGGGAGGAGGAAGGGGGAGGAGGGGGGAGGGGAGGGGGGAGGAGGGGGAGGAGGGGAAGGGGGAGCCAGGGGAGGAGGGGGAGGGGCAAGGGGGAGGGGGAGGAGGGGGGAAGGGGAAGGGGAAGGAGGAGGCACCCCCACGCAGTACAGCGTTTCGCGGCCCCATATGGGGGCTCCACCGACGAAGGCCCCATTGGCACCGCCCGCGCGCGTCTCCACAACCCATTACAGCGCGTCGTGGCCCCACAGGGAGCTCCACCGAAGGCCTCAGTGAGGGACCGCCCGCACGCGCCCCTCCCATCCATTACGGCACGCCCCATCACGCGTTGCGTGGCCCACCGGAAGCGGCACCCACAACGCGTTACTCACAACTACGTATGGTTGGGTCCTTCGCCAGGATGTATTTGTTTCTTGGGCCCCCACAGCGCTGACACACGACGGGGCGCGCATTGCGTTACAGTGCCCTGCAATGCACTGCTTCGCATTGTATTGCATTGCGCTGCGATGCGTTGCGTTGCATTGCATTGCATTGCATTGAGCATGTTCAACCCTCCGACCCAGCATCGCCTCAACTCTCCAACCCGTTAAGTCGTCCGACACATCGAGCACCGACGAACCACCTGAGCAAGCGGGCAACCTGGCCGACCAGTCAACCAACCAGCCAACCAACCGACCGCCCGACCGACGAACCAACAAACCAAACGACCGACCAACCAACCAACCAACCACCTAACCAACTGGGCAACCAACCAATTTTACCAACCAACCAACCGGCCCTTCGGCCAACCAGCCAACTGGCCCACCGGCCAACCAACCACCCCACCAGCCAGCCAGCCAACCAACCAACCAACCAATCGCCCAACCAATCATGCAACCAACCGAGCAACCGACCATGCAACCAACCAACCAACCAACCAACCGACCAACCGACCAACAGAGCAACCAACCAACCAACCAGCCAACCAGCCAATCCATCAGCCAACCCACCAGCCAACCAACCGACCAACCAACCAACCATCCGACCGGCCGACCGACCAACCGACGAACCAACCAATGTGGCACAACCCTCACATCGATCACGCCTCGGGAACTATAACAAATGTTTGAACCCTCCGGAAAAGTTCTGAACCCACAGGAAAATTTGAACCCTCAGGAAAAAATATTGGACCTGCTCCTCGGCTGCGCGACGAACGCACCACCGCTGCCGTAGATGGACAGAACTCCGCTGGCTGCGCTGTGGAGTTGACAACTCCAAGTTCTTCAATATCAATTCTCCTTTCTTAAAAAATAAACTCTGCCCCCCCCCCCCGACTTATCGGTTCCCCCTGGGATAGTATGATTTCATAGATTTTCTGCACACTCGTCCATCCTAAATATGAAACCATACCATCCCAGCTAGGCTGGTTTCCCCCCCGGAGGTTCCCTTGTAAAAGACACCATGCGGTGACATTTGTTGTTCTAACATAACACTTGTTCGCGAATCCCTTGCAAAAAAAGGACGAAGTGCACACGCGCGCGTCGTCGCGCGCGCATGCCAAAATCATTCAAAAACGTTCGGTGCCGGAAGGATTTCGCAATCGAGTTTCCAAAAAAACATACAAAAACACATGGTTTCGCAACACTGATTTTCTTAAAAAGCTTCCGCGCGAGCTCTTGCGAAATCTTCAGAAAACCATAGGTTTTTCAAGATTTTCACAAAATGCTACCAAACGGGCTTCGCGCGCGCGCATGTCGAAATCTGTCGAACGCCCTTGCGCGTGTGCCGTCGCGAGAATCCTTTGCAAAAACTGGGACGAAGTGCAGACGCGCGCGTCGTCGCGCGCGTATGCCGAAAACCTTCAAAACCCAACGGTTTCGGAAGGATTTCGAAATCGTGCCCAAAAAACATACAAAAACCAAGGTTTCGCAACACGGATTTTCAACAAAACCGTGCGCGCGCGCTCTTGCGTCGTCGTCGTCGTCGTCGTCGCCGTCCTCCCTCCTCCCGCGTCGTCGTCGTCGTCGCCTACGTCGTCCTCTGTCTTTTCTCGTGGTCGTCGTCGTCGTCGTCTTGGCGTCGTCCTAGTCGCTTCCGTCGTCGCTGTCGCCGTGGTCGTCCTTCCTCCCTCGTCGTCTTCGTCGGCGTCTCGTCGTTGTCCCTCCTATTTCGTCACCGTCGTCGTCGTCGTCGTCGTCGTCCTCCCTCTTCCCTCGTCGTTGTCGTCGTCGGCGTCGTCGTCCTTCCTCCTTCTTCGTCGTTCGCGTCGTCGCCGTCTTCCCCCCTCCATCGTCGTTGTCGTCATTGTCGCCGTCGTGGTTTTTTCTCCTCCCTCGTCGTCGTCACCGTTGGCGACGTCGTCGTCGTCTTCGTCGTCGTCGTCGTCGTCGTCGGCGTCGGCGTCGTCGTCTTCGTCGACGTCGACGTCGGCGGTGTCGTCGTCGTCGGTGTCGTCGTCGTCGTCGTCGGCGTCGCTGTCGTCGTCGGCGTCGGTGTCGTGGCCAAGTGCCATGTGGTACCTACCGTCACGGTCTTGTCTTAAGAAGTCTTGCGACCAAGTTGCGGGTGGGATGGTGGGATGTTTGCACGAGCAGTAGAGAGGACAGCTTCAAGACGGTCAAAGTGAATTGCACCACATACACTGCGCCACATAAACTGTCCCACATAGATTGCCCCGCAAAAGTTTCACTGCATAGACTGCACAACAAATATTGCACCACATAGATTGCACAACCTAAGTCGCACCACTTAGGCTGCCACATTAAGATTGCACCGCAGGTTTGAAAAACATTGATCACACCACATAGGTTGCGCCACGTTGATTCTCCTTGCTAAAAACAGAATAGGATCTACCCCCCCCCCCGGTGTTATCGGCTCCCCTTTCGGATATGTAAATCATATATGGCTCCGACCTCATGTCCATCCTAAAAATGAAATCACAAAGTCAAATGCCAACCGGTATCCCCCCCTGAGGTTCCCTTGTAAAAATCACTATGCGGTGACATGTTTTGTTCTAACATACCAGTTGTTCATGAATCCCTTGCAAAAAAAGGGACGAAGTGCACACGCGCGCGTCGTCGCGCGCGCATGCCAAAATCATTCAAAAACCTTCGGTGCCGGAAGGATTTCGCAATCGAGTTTCCCCCACCAAAAAAAAGCATACAAAAACACTGGGCGTCGCAACACTAATTTGCTAGAAAAGCTTCCGCGCGAGATCGTGCGAAATCTTCAGAAAACCATAGGTTTTTCAAGATTTTCACAAAATGCTACCAAACGGGCTTCGCGCGCGCGCATGTCGAAATCTGTCGAACGCCCTTGCGCGTGTGCCGTCGCGAGAATCCTTTGCAAAAACTGGGACGAAGTGCAGACGCGCGCGTCGTCGCGCGCGTATGCCGAAAACCTTCAAAACCCATCGGTTTCGGAAGGATTTCAAAATCGCGCGTCCAAAAAACCTACAAAAACCCAAGGTTTCGCAACACGGATTTTCAACAAAAGCGTGCGCGCGCGCTCTTGCGTCGTCGTCGTCGTCGTCGCCGTCCTCCCTCCTCCCGCGTCGTCGTCGTCGTCGTCGCCTACGTCATCCTCTGTCTTTCCTCGTGTTCGTCGTCGTCGTCCTCTTTGGCGTCGTGGTCGTTTCCGCCGTCGTTGTCGCCGTGGTCGTCCTTCCTCCTCCTCCCTCGTCGTCGTCGTCGTCCGTCGTCAGCGTCTCGTCGTCGTCCCTCCTATAGCGCCGTCGTCGTCGTCGTCGTCCTAGTCGTTTTCGTCGTCGTCGTCTTCCCTCCTCCCTCGTCGTTGTCGTCGTCGGCGTCGCCGTCCTTCCTCCTTCTTCGTCGTTGTCGCCGTCCTCCCTCCTCCCTCGTCGTTGTCATCGTTGTCGTCGTTGTCGCCGTCGTCGTCCTCCCTCCTCCCTCGTCGTCGTCTTCGTTGGCGACGTCGTCGTCGTCTTCGTCGTCGTCGGCGTCGGCGTCGTCGTCGCCTTCGTCGTCGCCGACGTCGGCGTCGTCGTCGCCGCCGTCGTCGTCGTCGTCGTCGTCGTCGTCGTCGTCGTTGTCGTCGGCGTCGTTGACACGTCGTCGTCGGTGTCATCGTTGTCGTCGTCGTCGGCGTCGTCATCGTCGTCGTCGGTTTTGCAAACCAAGTTGTGGGTGGGTGGGTGGGATGTTTGCAAGAGCGCGGGATGTGTCAACTCGTTTGTCAAGATCAATTACACCGCATAGATGGCACCACATACATTGCACCACATAGACTACACCACATAGATGACACCAGGTAGATAGCACCACACAGATTGCGCACCACATAGTTTGCACCACATACACCGCTTATATTCTCCTTTCTAAAAAGAGAATACCCCCCTTGACTTAACGCTTCCCCCTGGGATAGTATAATTTCACACATATATATATTATCATATATATATATATATATATACATATATATATGTATATATTCTGCACACTCGTCCATCCTAAAAATGAAATCATACCATTCCAAGCAGGCCGGTTTCCCCCCCTGAGGGTCCCTTGTAAAAAACACTATGAGATGACATTTTTTGTTCTAACATAGCACTTTCCCCGAATCCCTTGCAAAAAAAGAAGCGAAGTGCACACGCGCGTGCCGTCGCGCGCGCATGCCGAAATCCTTCAAAAACCTTCGGTGCCGGAAGGATTTCGCAATCGAGTTTCCAAAAAACATACAAAAACACTGGGCGCCGCAACACTAATTTGCTAGAAAAGCTTCCGCGCGAGACCGTGCGAAATCTTCAGAAAACCATAGGTTTTTCAAGATTTTCACAAAATGCTACCAAACGGGCTTCGCGCGCGCATGTCGAAATCTGTCGAACGCCCTTGCGCGTGTGCCGTCGCGAGAATCCTCTGCAAAAAATTGGGACGAAGTGCAGACGCGCGCGTGGTCGCGCGCGTACGCCGAAAACCTTCAAAACCCATAGGTTTCGGAAGGATTTCAAAATCGCGCGTCCAAAAAACCTACAAAAACCCAAGGTTTCGCAACACGGATTTTCAACAAAACCGTGCGCGCGCGCTCTTGCGTCGTCGTCGTCGTCGCCGTCCTCCCTCCTCCCGCGTCGTTGTCGTCGTCGTCGTCGCCCACGTCGTCCTCTGTCTTTCCTCGTGTTCGTCGTCGTCGTCCTCTTTGGCGTCGTGGTCGTTTCCGTCGTCGTTGTCGCCGTGGTCGTCCTTCCTCCTCCTCCCTCGTCGTCGTCGTCGTCCGTCGTCAGCGTCTCGTCGTCGTCCCTCCTATTTCGTCGTCGTCGTCGTCGGCGTCGTCGTTGTCGTCGTCTGTCGGCGTCGTCGTCGTCGTCGGCGTCGGCGTCGTCGTCGTCGGTGTCGTCGTCGTCGTCGTTATCGGCGTCGTCGAAGTCGTTGGAGACGTCGTCGGTGTCGCCGTAGTCGTTGTCGGCGGCGTCGTTGTCGTCGTTGTCGCTGTCGTCGTCGGCGTCGCTGTCGTTGGCAAGTGCCATTTGGTACCCACCGTCACGGTCTTAAGAGATTTTGCGAACCAACTTGCGGGTGGGTGGGTGAGATGTTTGCGCGAGCAGTGGAGTGGTCAAGCGCGGTGCAGGGTGGTCAATTGCACAACATAGATTGCACGTCATAGATTCCACCACCTAGACTGCACCACATAGATTGCTTCACACAAACTGCACGAGATTGATGGCACAATTTAAATTGCACAACAGATGATGCACAGCAGATAAGGTACCAGAACACACTAGTTGGGGTCCACGCTGACTAACATGCTTATATCTGCTCTGGTTCGTGATCAAAGGCGTTGTGTGGGGTCGTCAACCGCCAAGGATGCGCTTAAATTATATACACACGGGTGCTAGCACAAACGTCCGAACCCCATAACAAACTTTATGTACCATGTGAACCCACATAAACAACTTGTATATACCTGCCCCCAGGAGTAGAGCCACGATAATAAGAGGGAGGTAGGGGAGTCCGAAGCAGAAGATGGGGAGTAGGACGAGGAGGAGGAGGAGGAGGAAGAAAGGAGGAGGCGATGGACGAGGTGGAGGAGGAGCAGCACGACGAGGACAAAGAGGAGGACATGGACGAGGAGGAAGAGGAAGCAGGGCGCTCCAGGCAGCTCCTGGAGGCTCCTCGAAATTCCATGAAGATGACGAGCAACGTGAGGACGCCTAGAGCGAAAGCCAAGGACCCGGCTACATCACGCAGCACAGCATCCCAGCATAGCAGCACAGCATATAGTAGTGCACTCAAATACGGCATACCATCGTACGGCATGCATGTCAGGTTATGTTTGGGCTTGCATTCCTCGCCAGGCCGGTGGATCCCTGAGGCGTAACTCCCGAGAAAGGACAAGCAGGACCGCGAGATCCGCTGCACGAGTCGTATGTCGTATGCGGCACGTTGCCCCCAGAAGTCCCGACCTCTGCCCCAGGGCTTCTCCGTCCAGCGAGGGCCTCCAGAGCCCGCACGACGCGGAACAACAAAGAAAAGCAACTAAAAACAAAGGAGCAACTACAACAAACCAATAAAATAATTATATAATATAATATTAAAATAATAATAATAATAATAATAATAAAATAATAATAAATATATATATGTATATTATATATATATTTTTTTTAAAAAAAAAAAAAAAAAAAAAAAAAAAAAAAAAAAAAAAAAAAAAAAAAAAAAAAAAAAAAAAAAAAAAAAAGATGCCGACTCGATCTCTTCGAGGCGCCCGCTGTCTGGACCCGCGCCTGCCGCCCCCCCGCGGCCGGGGGGCTGCGGCGGCGGCTTGCCTCCACCAGCGCGGCCTCCTCGTCCTGCCGGGCTCTCACCGACACCTCGCCGCGCGCGGCCGCGCCAGACCCCCCTGCAGGGGCGAGCTGCGCCCGGGGGGGGGGGGTCGCCTCTTGCATTCCAACGGGGCCGGCAGAAAATCTCCTCGGAGGAGGGATCCAGGACCTCCAGCATCGGCTCCTCGGGGGACGGGTCGGGCGCCGCGGCCGCGTCGAAGCCGTCCAGAGCGCTCGGAGAGCGTTCTGGAGCGCTCTGGAGCGGTTTACGACGGAGGCCAGTCCACGAGAAGCCTCCCCCGAGGAGCCCAACCCCGCCGTCCGTTGGTCTGTGGCGTGGGAACGCCACGCTCTCCGCAGCAGAGCCATCGAAACCCAAGAAAACCAGGGCACCCTGGAGGCAAGCAGGGTGCTTCTTGGCATGGGTTCCCACTGTACTCGGACCCCATCTAGGAGGAGGAGGAGGAGGAGGAGGAGGAGGAGGAGGAGGAGATGGAGGTGCTTCTTGGCATGGGCCCCCACTGCATCGTCGCTCTGGCCCCGCTCGCCGCCCTGGCCCCGCCCAGTTCTAGACGCGGTCTTCGCGGCCAAAGGGGCGCGCCGAGGACATCAAGGCCTTCGGGCTCCTCTCTGGGCCTGCTGGGGGCGCCGTCGTAGCCACGCTGGGCTCTCCTCCTACAGGGCAGTTTATTCTTTCATACATAGGATTTATTTTAAAACATCTGAATCTTAATACATGATTAGTTTATGAATGAATGTATGCATGAACTCATCGTTGTTTTTAATACTAACTCCCTGCATTGTAAATACATGATCCGCACGCGGAGCATGTATAAAAAACGGCACTGTACAGTGAGGGCCAATGCCAAGAAACACCCTGCTCGCCTCCAGACTGCCCTGGGTTTCCTGGGCTTCGATGGTTTTGCTGTGGAGAGCGTGGCGTTCCCGCGCCAGAAGTCGATGAACGTCCCAGGGCCTCGGGGTTGGGTTTCTTGCAGAAGGTTCCTCGTGGACTGGCCTCCACTGCAGAAGCCTCCTGGATGGGGTCCGAGCAGAGGAGGCCGAAGGCTCGCGCCGCATCGCCGATGCACCGCCGATGCATCGGCGATGCATCGGCGCGATGCACCGGCGATGCACCGCCGACGTCGGCGGTGCATCGGCGACGTCGGCGTGGGGAGCCACGGCCTCCACACCGAGCCGCATCGGCAGTGCGGCGCGAGCCGCCCCGGCCCCATCTGCTCCGACCCCCTCCCGGGAGGCCCAGACCGCCCCGCAGCAAAGCCCACAAGAGAAAGAAGCGCCAGAGCGCGGGTCCGAGGGCCGGCTGCTGGCCCCAGGCCAGGGGTCGCCACGACCCCCCCCACCCCACCCCGTCGCGAAGAGAAAAACAAAAGGCACCGATGGCTCTTGGCCAGTGTCGGCCTCCAGGGGCCCTCGCCAGGCACCAGGGGCCCAGGACCGTGCAAAGAGCGCCTGGGATAGAGAACAGGGCCAGGGGAAAGCGTCGATACCTCCGCGAGGCCACGCTGAGAAAGAATACGACGTCGGGGGTCTGGGCCAGGATCCCATCCGAACTTGCCCCGCGCGCCGCGGCGAGCGCGGCAAGAGCGCGAGTTACAGCGGACTGTTGGACACATGTGCGAGGTGCCTCGCGCCGTTATCGGGCAGACTGTACAACACATGTGCCCTGGGTGCGGCGCAGCAGCGCCGCTGGCGCACGCGAGTGCACCGCGAGCTCGGCGCGCACGCGCATCAGGGTTACATAGCACGCATCACCATTCCGCCGGCTCCACGACCGACAAGAGATGCCAGCGTGAAGAACGGCATGGGCAGGCTCTTCGGATGGTCCGCTACGCGTCTTGTGGCCCACGGGACGCCGTCGCCAGCCACAAAGGGGTGACGAGAAGGGTCACGTCAGAGACCTGTGTGCTCCGCGAGGGCCGCTCAGGGCACAGGCAGGTGACGCTGGAACCGTGCGCGCAGCGACGAAACATCCCCCAGCAGAGGGAACGCGTAACTGCGACAGCGAAGGCTCTGCAACCAAAAACATTCAGCACCGTATTCTGTATGCAAGAGCCGGACGCCAAAAATCGAGCAGCCCAAAAAAAGCAACGAGTGCGCTCGAGCAGCGAATTCGTAGCCGCAGGCGACGGAGCGGGCCGATAGCAAGAGGAGCAGATGCTGCAGCATGGCAAGGGCTACAAGCACAGATACAGCTGTCCACGCCCCGCCGGAAACGGGAGGCCGGCAACTTCGGGGCCTCAGAATCGTGCGGTGACGGACTGCGCGGTGACCTCGGAATCCCCCACGACCTCATCGCGCGGTCCGCCACCCCACGGTCCGTGGACCTCGGAGGCCCCAGTCGCCCGAGACACCCTCCCCTGAGATCCGACGCTGCGAAAACCTGGCAACTCAAAAACAAAAGAACAAAACGAGACCGGAGACGGAGCCCTGGACTCCATCCTTCTGCGTCACTTCTTCGAGCCGGCTCGATCTGCGAGGGCCCCGGGGCCCGCACTGGAGCGGGAGGGCCCGGTGTGACAAAAATTGCAGCGCCGGGATCTCGGTTCCAGAGGGCCCAGACCCCCTGCGTCGTGATGTCTCCATGGAGCGGCCCCCAGGGCCCTGACTTTCCAGGAGGGCTACAAAATAGCACCAGGACCTCGACATCTTAATTCCCATCGAGGTATTAGGCAGTCCAGATAAATCTATAGGTCTGGAGGGCTCAATTTCAGCACTCTGGAAGGTCAGGGAGGTCTGGACCCACTCCCCGGGACCAGTGTTCATTTTGAATCATTTTGTTGGCGGTCCCGAGGCCCGGTGGGGGTCCCCAGGGGGCCGAAAGCAGCGAAGAGCCTGCCCTGGTGGTTTTCTCATGACCCGACGGGGTCTGGGAACGACCCCGAGCCCCCAAAACCGCGCGGGCGTTGGCAGAACCGGGTTTAGTGGGACCTGGTTTACCGATGTGTACTGGGGGGCGCCCCCCCGCCCCGTTCCACTAACCGGAACTGCCGTCACCCGAGAAAACACCAGCTGCGGCAAACCTGGTTTAGTGATTCTGGCCAATTCAGGGGCTCCAGGGCCCTACCACTAACCAGGTCTCCTTACCTGGGGTCCTGGCCATACCCGAACCGCGCGGTGGCCCCGGAGCCCCACCGGCTCGCCGCGCGGCGCGCGGTCACCACGCCGCCCCTGGCCGGGCTGCGCTGCAGCCTCCCCCAGACAGAGCCGCGCCCTCGCATGTGTAGGGCGCGGCGCCGCGCCCGCCGCCGCCGCGCCTCGGTGGGAGGCGGACCGCTGACATTCCAGAGTGCGAGTCGTAACAGCAGCCCTCCAGACCTGTGGAGACCTCCTCCTCCTAATCCTCCTCCTCCTCCTCCTCCTCCTCCTCCTCGTCCTCGTCCTCCTCCTCCTCCTATCTTCGGCCGCCTAGAACCTCGACAGGAGCTCAACACTGGCTAATGTTGACCATAGCCCTCCAGGCCTGTCTAGACCTACCTGGGCCGCCTGAGAAGCCTCGACGGGAGTTCAGGGAGATATCGAGGTCCTGGTGCTACTTGTTGCACTCCTGGTAGGTCAGGGGAAGAGGTCCTAGAGGCCTCCGAGATGGGGTCGGAGTAGATGGGATCGGAGGATCGCGCCGCATCGCCGCATCGCCAGTAAAGTGGAGGTCAGTCCACAAGAAACCTTCCACAAGAAACCCAACCCTGAGACACCAGGACGTCCATTGACTGTTGGCGTGGGAACGTCACGCTCTCCACAGCAAAACCATCGAAACCCAAGAAACCCACAGCACCCTGGAGGAAAGCAGGGTGTTTCTTAGCATGGGCCTCCACTGTACGGGCTCCCCGGGAGTTCCTCGGGGGTCGCTGCATGGGGTGGCGGTATGAATGGGGGGAGGAAACCCTCCAGATCGCCCTGGCTCGAAAAATGACGCAGAAAGATTGGGTCCAGGGCTCCGGTGATTTTTTGCGATGTTGCATTTGTTCGCTACGTCGGATCTCAGGGAAGGTGCACTTCTCAGACCCTAAAGGCCCTCTCTGGGGCCCTAAAGGGCTCCTTTAGGGGCCATGAAGGGTTCCTTTTCTGCAGCCCTGGCTGCCCCCCCCCCGATCTGTCGCCCCCCCATTGCGCGAAGCCCAAGTCCCGACCACTGCCCCGGGGCCGGCTTCTCGTCCTCCGTCGTTTCCTCACGGCCCCGTGGCCCGGCAGGGGCCCCCAGAGGCCCAGGACGGCCAGGAACCTCGAGGCCCGACTTTCTCAGGCCGCAGACACGTCTGGGCATGCGCCTCCTCCCCTGTCGGGGGTTGCTAAAGGTGCCCCTGGCCCAAGGTGCCCCCAGCTGTTCGCTCCATTCTGGGGGCCCCCCCTGGGGCCCTCTGGGCCCCGTGACGGGGGGCGCCGGAGGCCGCGGGGGCCTTCCTGGAAATCCTGGGGGCACCCTGGGCCAGGGGCACTCGTGGCGCCTCCTCCCCCTCCTGCCGGCCGCACGAGAGGCTGGCCCTTTCGCGGGCGTGGCCTCCGGTGCGCAGCTCGCCGATCCTTCGCTGCACGCGGTGCGACAGCGACGGCCGCTGTGCCCGGGCCCGGCCCTCTCGCGCCCCCCGCCCCCGAGAGGCCGCACAACCAGCAGGGGGCTCAGAGAGGACGCACGCGCCCAGCTGTGCACACGAGCACGGCCCCTCGACCCGCGAGACCGGCCGCGTGGTACAGGGCAGTTTTTGATGCATAGGATTTGTTTAAAACTATAGGAACTGTAATACATTATGAATGTATGAATAAAGTTATGCATGAACTCATCGCTGCTTTTTAATACTAAATCCCTGCATTTTTTTATACATGATCCGCACGCGGAGCATGTATTAAAAACGGCACTGTAGGGAGCCCACAAAGGACGTACGCGCCCAGCTGTGCACACGAGCACGGCCCCATCGACCCGCGAGACCGGCCGCGTGGTGCGAACATTCGCGCATCGCGGACGCTCGAAACCAGCGTGGATTCATGTGCGTGTACGTCCTCCTTTCGCTCCTGAATCAGAGGCCACTCCGAGGCCCAGGGTCAAGATTTGCTTTGACGTCCACTCCCAAAGACCCGTCAGAGCGGGCAGCATGCATCGGGAGTTAAAAGGACTCCGATGCCGTCCAAGTCAACGGCGACCCCTTGCCTCTTCTGGCGGAGTCCTTTGCTGAGTTTGGGCCACAATCCTGTTCTGCGAGCGTTGAGAGACGACCAACTCTTGTCTGCGGGTCCTTCTTCTACCTGCGCGGGCGCACGGGAACAGGGTCTGGCCTGACAAGGGTCCCCCAAGATACGCAACTGACCTCCAGAGGTGTAGAAAAAACACAGCTGGCAGAAGCAGATGCAACTTCCATCGCTGCAGTCCGCAACGATGCACCGGTGCCCAAGATCACGCAGTCTCTGTGGATCTACTTTAAGACTGCGGGCACACCTCCCTGGTGGAGGCTTTGAAGAAGAACGAGAGCTCTTCAAGCACTCGTTGCACTGGAGGAGGAGGAGGCGGAGGAGGGGAGGGAGGGGGAGGGGGAGGGCGAGGGGGAGGGGGAGGCGGAGGAGGAGGAGGAGGAGGAGGAGGAGGAGGAGGAGGAGGAGGAGGAGCAGCAGCACGAGGAGGAGGAGGAGAGAAAGGAGGAGGAGGAGGAGGCGAGGAGGAGGAGAGGAGGAGGGAGGCGGAGGATGAGGAGGAGGAGGAGCGAGGCGGCGGAGGAGGAGGCGGAGGAGGCGGAGGCGACGGCGGGAGGAGGCGGCGGAGGAGGAGGCGGAGCGGCGGAGGAGGAGGAGGGGGGAGGAGGAGGAGGAGGAGGACGAGGAGGAGGAGGAGGAGGAGGAGGAGGAGGAGGAGGCGGAGGGGCGGCGGAGGAGGAGGGAGGGAGGAGAGGAGCGCGGAGGAGGAGGAGGAGGCGGAGGGCGCGGAGATGAGGAGGAGGAGGAGGAGGACGAGGAGGAGGCGGAGGCGACGGCGACGGCGGAGGAGGAGCGAGGAGGCGGCGGGGAGGAGGAGGAGGAGGAGGAGGAGGAAGGAGGAGGGGAGGAGGGGGAGGAGGAGGAGGAGGAGGAGGAGGAGGAGGAGGAGGAGGAGGAGGAGGAGGAGGAGGCGGAGGCGGCGGAGGAGGAGGAGGAGGAGGAGGAGGAGGAGGAGGAGGAGGAGGAGGAGGCGGCGCCCCGCCACCGCCGCCGCCTTGGGCGCCCCTGCGCGCCCAGCTGCCCGACGCTGGGCCTCCGAGCACCTCGGCGGCGCGGCGCCCCGCCGCCGCCGCTGGCCCGTCCTGTGGGGCGCGCCCGTGGCGCGTCCAGCTGCCGCGGGCTAGGCGTGGGGCAGCAGGCCGAGGCTCGCGGCGAGGGCCCGCCCGTAGCGCCCCGCGGCCAGGGCCCCGAGGTCCGCGGAGAGGCGGGCGTGCACGCGCGCCTCGAGCGGGGTGCCTCGCAGCGCCTGGGCCGCCCGCTGGACCGCCAGGTGGCCGTGCCGCGTGCCTGGGGAGGCCGGGCGTGGCGAGAGATGGAGGCCTCCTGGATGGGGTCCGAGTAGATGGGGTCGGATGATCGCGCCGCATTGCCGATGCATCGGCGACGTCGGCGATGCATCGGCGCCATCGGCATGTCGACACTCGGGCTCCGCATCGAGCCGCATCGCCGATGCATCGGCGATGCGGACCGATCCTCCGACCACATCTATTCCGACCCCACCTAGGAGGCCTGGAAAAGAACAGCACACACACACACACACACACACACACACACACTCAAACCTGCAAGGGAAGGAAATGGGGCAGGGCAAGCCCTTGGCGGCGAGCCCTGGGGAAAAGCGAGAGGGGGCAAGCCTTCTCGGGAGGCGGCGGGGCTTCTCAGAAGCCCTCGCGCTCTCCGGAAAGTCGTTTAAGCCTTCTCCGAATACAGAGACGGCTTCTCAGAAGGCTTCTGAGAAGCCCAGCCGCCTTCTGAGAAGTCCTGCCCCCGCTCACTTCCCATCTGGGTTCGCCGCCGATGACCGCCAGGTGGCCGTGCCGCGATCCTGGGGAAACCGAAGGTGGTGAAAGAACAACACACACTCAAACCTACTGGGGGGAGCAATGGGGAAGGGCAAGGCGATGAAGGCGCTATAGGTATTGGAGCGAGTTGTCGGACCCCGAGGGAGACTCCCGTTCGAGCTGGGATCTCATCAAACAACACACACACCCATAGCCCCCCTAGAAGTACACCCCAAGAAATCTGCGGGTCGCATAGGTATGAGTGCAACATGCCAGCTCATGCAAAAGGTACTGGTACTGTTACTCCCCAGACCTCTCCTTGGGTGCGTTCTGACTAGAACTGCAAGGCGAATCCAGCCGTGGCGACGAGGGCCCCCCAGGAGGAGAACAAGTTCTTCTCCGGGAAAAGGGCTACTTCTCCGGGAACAGGGTTATTTCTCCGAGTGCAATGAGGCAAATACCGGGTCGGTTACTTCTCTGGGTGGGACCCTCACAGGTTTTCCCGCCTTCCCCAAACACCACAAACCAAACGACAAACACCAGCCCCCAAACAGCAAACACCAACCCCCAACACCAAACATCAACCCCCGAACACCAAACACCCAACACCAAACACCAAACACCAACACCAAACACCAAACACCACATACCAACCACCAATCCCCAACCCACAAACACCAAACACTAAACATCAAACACCAAACACCAAGCACCAAACACCGAACACCAAACACTCAACACCAAACACCCAACACTCAACACCCAACACCAAACAGCAAACACTAAACATCAAACACCACACACCACAACACCAAACACCACACACCAAACACCAAACACAACACACCGAACACCAAACACCAGACACCAGACACCAGACCCAAGACACTTCACACCAAACACCAAACACCAAACACCAAACACGACTACAAATACTAATACGACGACTACTACGACTACTACTACTACTGCTACTACTACTACTACTACTACTACGACGACGACGACTACTACGACTACTACGACTTCTACGACTACTACGACTACTACGACTACTACGACTACTACTACTACGACTGCTACTACTACTACTACTACTACTACTACTTCCACTACTACTACGACTGCTCCTACTACTACTACTACTACTACTACTACTACTACTACTACTACTACTACTACTACTACTACTACTACTACTACTACTACTACTACTACTACTACTACTACTACTACTACTACTACTACTACTACTACTACTACTACTACTACTACTACTACTACTATACTACTATACTACTACTACTGCGACTACGACCACGACTACGACGACTACCACTACTCCTACTTCTACGACTACTACTAC